TACACTTTGGTTCCAGGTTATGCTTTTCCTGGTACATTGTATATTTTCACGGTCCTTAATCTTCTTAGAGGTATGGGATAGAGATCTCCATTCCTTACCTTGTTTTGACTAACTGGGCACTTTTAACTCTAATCTGCAATTGTTCAGGGCTTTCATCCACCATGAATGTTCGCATAGTATATCTGGATATTATGAGACCGTTTGCTGAATCTGTTCTAATAGGGTGAGTCCATTCTAACTTGATCTGTCACTTCATTATTTTTTACTGGTTCATATCTGACGACAATGTGATTTAACTTCTTAGAAACCTATAAGGGACCAGCGTAAATCCACAGTGGATTTATGATACTCCAGTCCATTCTGTGTGGAGGCTAACTGAGGCAGTTTTTAGTTAGCTGGGGAATGATAATAAATACTTGGAATACAGGTTTGCACCTATTTTAATTTTGCAAAAAGAGTTTATAGCATCCAATAAATGAAATGGGTGCTATCTCAAAGATGAATTATTCTTCAGTTTCTGATCCGTTAGCTGGTTCACTGTATTTTATACTACTTTCTAGTTTGAAATTCATATTGACAATTGTAGGATGATTTACTAAGCTAATTTCTCTATTTTTGGATGCCAAAACATGAAAAGCCAAAATTTGGGCTTAGATCATTATTCACTTTTTATGAGATTTTCATTAATGATGTCTTAAGTTTGTGCTACAAAGATGGTGAGGTCATTATAGATACTGCTGCTGGAGTGCTTGGTAGATATGATCCTCGTCCTGTTCAGCCTGATAGTCTTTTAATGTTTTTCGACACAAAGGGGTCACTGCAGGAATGTTACATTGGCTGGTTGACAATGGGTATGTATTTTTCTTAAGCTTTATGTTCTTGAATCTTCCTGCTTTGTTGCACAGAAGTTTTATTGATAGTGTATATATGCCCATTTATAGCTGTTACAGCTAATTCTTAGGTTTCTAATTTATGTTGTTGAGGTTGGCTAGACATAATGTGGGAAGTTTTTATTAAATTGTTCACATGATTATGCTGATGTTTTGGAGGGTTCACATCAACTGCATGCCAGAGGAAATAGTCCAGGGATTGGTTGTTCAATATGATCTAGCAAAACTAAATGTTGACATGGATAGAGATTACCTGCCTGATCTTTTTGGAATTTTGATCATTTTGCGGTGTTCTTTCTTGTCCTATTTTTGGAAATATAGCATATCTGTTTCATTTAGAATCATGGCATTTTTTGATATAGTTGACATGACCCAAAATATGGATGTCTGTACCAGATCTGTACCTTTTGATTTTGGAAGAAATATGAGTCCTTTCCAATAATTGGTAAATGAAGAGAAGATGACTCTGTAATACAATATAACCTCCGATTTTTGAAGCTAATACAGTTGTGCATTGTAGATGTCCTAACTAGTATTAATCTCTAGTTTGATTGAATGTTGTTACTCATAGTAACTCAAGATTCAAGTATATTGGTGCATTTCATGTCATTCTTCCAAACAAAATAGCAAAAATCTATTGTTAAGGCTCAATTGTGGATTTTGGAGTTTCTTTCATTATGTCCCACATGGTGTAATTTGATATATTTAATAGGTGGAGTTGAAATTATATGCCTGCAGTTTGTACTGAATTATTCTGTGGTACCCCATAATATTCACTGAATTTGACCATGATTCTGAACTAACCAGATGAGCAAATCGATCAATAAGATTCTCAGATTAATGTACTTTGGTATAGAAGTGGCCATTGTGGGATCAGATGTTCGAGTTAAGTTTGTCTAATCTTACAAATTTTGGCATTTTGTCTTGCAGAAACTTAAGTTTGAGGAGAATGTTGCTAACATTTGGCCAGAATTTGGATCAAATGGAAAAGATCTCATAAAGGTGTTATCTTATCCTATGACCTTTTAAACATTCCTATGGGTAGCCACAGTTCTTATGTCAGTAAATCTTCTATATTTGTACTCAATATAACTTGGTTATTCGATGTTAGGTCCATCATGTGCTTAACCATACGAGTGGTTTGCACAATGCTTTGGCTGAGCTTGGAGCAGAAAATCCTTTGCTAATGGCTGACTGGGATGAATGTTTGAACCGGATTGCCATGTCAGTACCTGAAACTGAACCGGGCCAACAGCAGTTCTATCACTATCTGTCTTTCGGCTGGCTTTGTGGTGGAATAATTGAGGTATTATAACTAATGCTGCTTCAATTTAATATAACTTGTCAAATATGGTTTGTCCTGAAGCTTTCCCTAAATGAATGATTGAGCATGTCCTGTTCGTTCTAAGATGTCATCTGGCCTATCGAGATGATTTTTTGTGCATCTCTTATTTCCTGATGAACCCTGCAATCTATTGATAACAAATGTCTAGCCTATATTTATGTGGTGATGTGTATAGATACCATGTGATCCTAGGTATGCCAGCTAGGATTGATTGTGAGTTTGATTTTCTGTTGGCCTTCAGACTGATCAAAGAATTTGACTATATTTTCAAATTCCCTATGTAGTCCCCTGTTCTAATGATATGTTTTGATAAATAGCGTGCGTCTGGGAAGAAATTTCAGGAGATTCTTGAAGAAGCATTTATTCGACCCCTAAATATTGAAGGCGAGCTATATGTTGGAATTCCACCAGGTACATATGAAACTTCACTTTTTAAATCTTCTCTAGTCACCTAGCACAAAAATGTTGGTTTAAGTGAAAATGCCCCGTAATGTTCCTTCAAGCTGATATATTGTTCACTAGTTCTGTTCTTCATTTGAATAGAACTATTTAGTCTACTATTACTTTGAAACTGAAGTAACTGTTATCAATGGCTTTATCGTGCCTTTCAATGGTTCCCTTCCAGGTGTGGAATCTCGGCTTGCAACCCTTACCTTAGATACAGATGATCTCAACAAGCTGCCAGAGAGATCTCCTCGTCCTGAACTACCCTCTACATTCCAGATTGACAAAATTGCACAGCTCGCTACCACCATGCCAGTGTTATTTAACATACTGAACACTCGTCGTGCCATCATACCTGCTGCTAACGGACATTGCTCAGCTCGTGCCCTTGCACGCTACTATGCAGCCCTAGTTGATGGCGGGGTGGTCCCACCCCCGCATTCCTCTTTATCCAAGCCACCACTTGGTAGTCATACCCACATCCCCAAATATTCTTTACAGAACTCAAAAAAATCAAAAGCTAAGAAAAGCAAGGAGGTAACTGCTGCTTCAAACAACCAAACAAAAAATCATGAGCAGAAGAAATACAGTAAAGATTTCAAAGAAGGTAGTCATAAAAGAGACGCTAGTGGTGATGGTTACACTAGGCTTGATAATGGCTGCAATAGTGGTAGTAATAACACAAGCGTAAGCAATAGCATTGTTACTGTCTATAATGATAATGTCAGCAAGATTTTCGATAACCCTAGAATTCATGATGCATTCTTGGGTGTGGGTGAATATGGGAATCTGGCCTTACCAAATGGGCAATTTGGACTGGGGTTTAAGAGGTATAGGGCGAAGGATGGATCATTCATTGGTTTTGGGCACTCGGGCATGGGCGGATCAACAGGTTTCTGTGATATAACAAACAGGTTTGCTATAGTGGTGACCTTGAACAAAATGTCATTTGGTACGGTAACTGCAAAAATCATTGAGTTAGTTTGTTCAGAGTTAAATATCCCACAGCCTGTGGAGTATTCATCTGTTCGGGATCTAGAGAAGCCTCTCATTAACTGAAAATGATAGAATATCTTTGTATCTCCTTTGGATTTAATCATGCCACGACTATATAAACCAAATCAAACATTGCTTCCACAGAGGAAGTATGTAAACATTTTTAGTGATTATTTTTCATTAAGTACAAGCAAATTATAATGGATAGGGGAAGACAAAATGAGCTGTTTCTTTGCCACCTGTGTTTTATAATTAGGGGGTGAGATTCGGAAAATAATGTAGAAGATTTATTAAACTCTTTGTAGTGATGATATATATTCAGATAAGAGTGTTGATCTTAACTTTTTATGAGTTTTCTTCTGGGTTAGTTCCATCTTCATACTTTCAAGTCCAATTTCTTATATGTATTTGGTTATCAATTGAGAAGCTTACCATTGTTATGTAGAAATGTACTCATAAAATCTTCTTAAATTTTAACAACAAAGGGATACGGTTTCTTTACCCAGCAAGAATCAATTCCGTGGATCCATGTGATGTATGCTAGAGGAAACTTAACAGTATTTAATCAGCAAATAATTTTACTCGGTACACCTACGACTGCAGCTTCTGCCTTCTCATCTCATGTGCTGTATAAACTAGTTTTAAATGGTTTTCCTCCATTATTCTGAAGATTCTATGGAGATTTTGATTCTGTATTTTGAAGCAGAGACACTGTGATGCTTCAAGGAAGATACCAATAGACAGTGTGAAGATTCAAGGAAGGTACCAATAGACAACATTTTATTTATCAATTGTATGAAGCCGTTGGTATCACGAGAATGCTTAATATATAAAGTCTTTCTCTAAAATATGCTTGTCTCCCTGATGTCTACAGCGTACAGTGGGGTTCATCTTCATGGGTAATGAGGCAGTACAATCACCATCTCCAAATATATCAGAAAAATTAATTAAACCCACTTGAGATTTATAAAATTCATGTACCTGCACCTGCTGTGTGAATTGCTAACAACTGGATCCAATTCCAAATAACATATTCTGATTAAGTTTACAGGCCTGTTTAATGCACTCATGAACTAATTTAATATTATCTTTGCACCATGTACTCATTCTCCAATAACTAAAATATATTCGATCCATTTTGCCAGCTTTCATTTTTTTTATATTATTAAGATTGATCGGATTCGAGCAAATAATAATAGTAAATTAGGATATGAAATGAGGGCATTCAAGTGATTATTATCAACAACCAGGGGTGTAATTTCAAGTCTTTCAGTATATAAATTCAGGTATTCTGCACCAGAGAAAATGAAATCAAGTGCTTCCATTTCCATTTTCTTGTTTTAGCCTGAGAGCTTGCTTCAATTGTTAAAAAAAGAAAATGTTGGGCATAAGTGGTGTGTGTTCCAGAATCATTGGGGAGTTGGTGCAAGTGTTAGGAGTTTCGAGATCAAACTCGACTCACATTGCTCCGAATTCTACTTGTAAACCAGCGAATGAACGTCAGATTGATGAGTTGATGCTGCGGGCACTTACTGCAGTTTTCGGAATGGAGGACAATGGGAAGATAAAGAAAGAAAAAGCAAGGCGGGTTGTGGAGAAACTTGGGTTGATATATGGAGAAGAAGAGAAGTCAAGTTTCGACCTGCCTGGTGAAGAAGAAGTGCCGGTAGAAGAGGCACTTGGAGAACTGGAAGATGAGAAAAAGCGCAATGAATTACTACGTGAAGCGTTTAAGATATTTGATGAAGATGGCAATGGTTATATAGAAGCAACAGAGTTGAAGAGGGTGCTGGAATGTCTCGGATTGGATAAAGGATGGAATATTTCTGAAATCGAAAAGATGTTGAAGGTTGTGGATTTGAATCTTGACGGAAAGGTTGATTTTGGCGAGTTCGAATTAATGATGGGCTGAAATCTTTGTTCTAAATCACACGCCTAATTGTATATTCATCATTCTTTCTTTCAATTAATTTTGTCAGAAATAAAATTTCACAGCAAGTTCTTCACAATAATGTCTTCTTTCTTATAGAGTTGATCAAAACTTGCCCATCCAAAGCAGGCTAGCTCCCCTGTCTCAGACTTATTTCAGAAGTGATGGATCTCATCTTAATTACAAACATAATTTTGTAGAAGAAGACTAGACAAATAATAAACTAAAGAAATTAATGTACACAGACTGTCTGGTATGAAACTACATTATATTATATATATATATATATCATCTCCCGTACAAGAAGAAACTAAAAAAAAAAAAAAAGTCTCCATTTTTATTAATTCAATGCCAAATCTCAGAGACACAGCTTGCAGCATCGCTATTAAGGATTCCATTGTTGATATCAGAAGCATTGAGTGAGGAATTGTGAGGCATCCCAGTAGCATATGAAGATGAATTTGCATTATTATCTCCATGAACAGTAATTGTTGGAGAGACTGAAACTGATACTGGTACGTTTGATAATTGACGTAGATTATTTTGATTGGTTACTGCAGGTTGTGGTGTGCTTAAATGACTTTGAAGAAGTTGATTCAATCCACACGTAAGTGACCCTCGAGTCACTATATCTTCTGCTAACTTAACCTTGGCTCTGAGAGCTTCCACATCCGATTTAAGCACTCTATTATTTGTATCAGCCTCTCGATAGTGTTGAGTTGCATTTGAAAATTGCTTGTACAGAGATGAATTTTCTCCTCTCAGTCGATCAACCTGATCCATCCATCAAACACACAAATTAAAAAACTTAAATATAATTAATTTTATTGTGTATTAATTTAATTGATTATATTTATACCTGGGTTTCAAGGTCAGCCATATGTGCTTGTTTTCTTTTCCTTGATCGCCTTGCAGACTCTCGGTTGGAGACCATCCTGGATTAATTAGTGCAACCTCACAAATTAATAACCCTACTTACTTTGCAACAAATTAATTAATTAATTAATTACCTTCTAATGCGTTTCAAATGAGTAGGATCAAGGCTTTGCTCGCATGGACCAACTTCATCATCAGATAATTGATCCCCGGCCGATGAACCACTGCTTGTTCCTCTTGCCATTATTTCACTTTCTTCGCTACATTTTTTGGGTTTATGATCACTTCCACCTGACCAGTTTCCTCTGCCACATATGGATGACTGAGAATCAATGGCTGCTGCAATATTGATCCTGGTTCGCTTATGTGGTGTGGGATTTTCTGCCCACACATTATCGCTCGGAAACCCGTTCATCATTTCCTGTTTGCATGCACAAAATTAATACAATTATAGACCAAAATAATCTCGTGTACGACAACATGGATACGTACTCATCATGATAAATAAGCCAACTGAAAAACGACAAATCATTTCTTATTAAAGCTCATTCACGACGAACATATCAGAGTCCTAGATTCTTAGACAAATTATTTCTGTAATTATCACACTCTACCTAATTATTTAATTAATCATTAAATAATAAATAAATAAAGAAGAAGAAGAAGAAGAAGTAATTACCCGATTCTTGAAACCAAAGGAAAGATCTTCAGCCAAAAGCTGGTCGGTAAGTTCATGGAAAGTTTGGTGATAGAAAATGCTGTTTTGAGTCAGGTCTGATGCTGCGTTAAAATTAAAAAGCTCCGCCATCGCTAATTCTGATGGACTCCGTTTCATGTGGTTTCCTCCGAGGGCGGCAGGAGGAGGAGGAGGAGGAGGAGGAGGGTGGATGGAAGTGATTTGGGACTCAGTGGATGAAGTTTCACCTGCTGCTTGATTCTCCATTAACGAGAGAAAAAAGAGAAAGGAGGGGGGGAATTCATGTAAGTGAGTCCTGTTATTTATATTAACACCTTTCTCATATCACGACAACAACTAACAAAAGCTAAACCCACCCACATCACATACAACAACTTAAAAGTTAATTTGACGTAGGTTCATATTCATTCATTAATATCAATATTACTAAAATGCCCTTCTTCTTCTTTCTATTTCTTAACAAACACGTAAAGGTATAATATTCAGCCATCAAAATATTATTTAATTATTTCAAATACAAATGCGACTTTGTTTCCTTATTTTCAAAACCATATCTTAAATTAAAAAGAAACCCTCTAAATTTGTTAATAGATAAAAACATCCCTAACAAATTTTTTTTATAAGTTAACAAAAACACTTTTATATATCCATAGTTGCCAGATTTTGATAACCATCGTCGATAGTGGCCAAAATCTGTCACAACGACGCACTACCAGTCGAAACTGGTCGGTTCAGGCACAAGGGCTTTTCCCGTGTGTTGGACACATCTAAGGTATTATCCGCTTTGGGTCCTTCTAGCCACAACTCCTTCGGATCCTCACGGTTTTGTTTCGCTTCATGGTCCTTTTTCCACTTTATAAACATATTCCTCATGACTTATACCTTGGCCAAGTAACATAAGTACCATTGGGATTTGGCTGGAAAATACCAGATCGGCGAACAACTGACCAAATTCGACCGGTCGTACACCATAATGCCAGATTCCGACGGTAGTAGTCGGAATCTGGCCACTGTGGGTGGGTGAGAGTGTTTTTATCATGTTACAAAAAATTTATATATTGAAGTGTTTAGTTAAATTATCAAACTTAAATGATTTTTTTATTAATTTTTAAATTCTACCTCGTAATAATCACCCAACTCTATTTACCAATAATATTTCAAAAATACTACTCAAAATAATAAAATAAACACACTCTTATTAATTAGATTGCCCAAGCATTAAGAAAGGTGGGGTGTTTTAGTAAATACAGAAAGATAAATTAAAAGAAAAGAGACAAGTGGTGCAATGAAAGTGAAAAAGGTACGTAGACAGGCACCGACGTTTAATACAAAAAAATAAAGTATGGTGATGAATGAATGCATACTTTTATATATTAAGCTAAAAAAAAAGGGTCTTAACTCCACTTTCTTTTTCTTTTCATGGGTCGTAAAGGTAAATACCTAACTACCGACAGTGATTTACCAAGCTTGCCCCCACTACTACTCTCTCTTCAATTTTTATTACCAATTAAATTTCTGTGTTGTTGCTGCTGCATTGATTCTCTTATTCCTGAAAAGATTTTGTGCTTGAATTTTTTAATAAACACCAAATCGTTAATAGAGATACATATGGTACTATTGGTTACGTTTGGTTTATTATTTTGGATAAAATTTTTGGATAGTATTGGGTTGTTGGATAAGAGAGTATTACGAGGTAAACTTTAAAAATTTATGAAAAAGCCCTTAGGTTTACTAATTTAATTAAAGACCCTAATATATAAAATGACAAAAAAACCCCACCACCTGCAGTACCAGATTCCGGCCACCACCACCAGAATCTGGCCGGAAAATTTCATTACGACACAGACCGATCGGATATGTGCCGTAACGCGTCGTTATAGCCTTTTCCGGCCAGATCCACCACGGATCTGACTGGAAAAGGCTAGATCTACGAACTGCTGTGGCTATAACGATCAGAAAAGGCTAAAACGACGACCATTTCTTTGGCCGTCGTTGACGGAAGATCTGGCCATTACCGGCTATTTTTGGTGGCTGTGTGACTATTGTGATAGATTTCGACTACCACCGGCAGTGGTTGTCGGAATCTGGCAGGTATTGGTGGGTGGAGGTGTTTTTGTTAGTTTTTAAACTTTTTTACCGGGTATTTAATGAAATTAATAAATTTATAGGGTCTCAACATAATTAAAAAAATAGACTAATATTTTGAGAATAACGTACCAAATAACATTTGAAAAATAGGATTAGAAATATGGATAAAAATAATAAGTCAAACGCACCCATTACTATTGCACAGCCCAGTAGCTTTAATTGCTTTGGGCTGATCTTCTCAAATTTCTGGGCTTCAATAAGAGGGTAGGCTGTCCACGACCTTTGTCCAAGTTCTAAATTGTTTTCTTCTTCAAAATTTACTCATTCAATCCATTTAGTTAAAGCCATTCAAGGTTAGTTCTAATGTCTGCATTTAAGAAATATATGAAAGGAGATAGCTTGCGAATTGAGAAATATATATGGTGCATACTCTATAGTTTATAGAAATGATAAATTAAACCATGCATATTGATTGATGGATGTGACATAAATCTGTCAACTGTCACCATATATACATAATTTCGTGTCTTGATGGTTAAGTCTCATCATCTCATGATGGAAGATGTAGTGGTTGCTTCAGCTTGTATCCACAAGTTAAACTTTCTGAATAATAGGAAGCTGTTTCTTGGTCATTTGGTGTGAGGCATATTACATGATCATCGAAATAAAATAAATGTTAATTTTGCCAACTTCTCCTGACCTTCACTTCTAGTCAGTAGCAGCTTCATTCTCCCACAATATGTGGATGCCAAAATCCAAAAGCAGTTCTTCTCTTCCGTTGGAGTCACACACCGACTAGGCACGCTCAAACCTACTAGTTTATAAGAGAGAATAATCCTCCCATTTAAAAATGTCTTATTGGATGAGGAGTCAGGCTCACTTCAAATTCTATCATCCTACCAAAGCTAGGTTCAGTTGAACTGGGTGCTTAACCAGGCATGATCCAACATTTGAGTTTAACCGTGAGGGGGAGTGTTAGAATTCTCTCTACTGGTTTATAGGCCTTATTGGGTGAGGAGTCAAACTCACCTCAAATTCTATCATCTTCTACCAACTCAGATTGCAGTCCCGCATATATAGGGAGATAATTATTCTACAACTGGTTAGCGTAAATTTTATCACTACACACATATCAGAAACGAAAACAACTATTGCAGTCAAAAGACGATGCTCCTCTTCTCCAAGTTTATAGATGAACTAATAATTAATTTCTAGAATTAAAAAGTGATTTGATTAAGTTAAAGTATCATAGTTTAAGTGGCCCCTGTGGTACACAAATTTTCACTACTCTATTCCCTATTCTATCCAAAATACATATTTATTTCCTTATTCTCAAAATATTATTTTATATTATTCAATTCCTTTTAAACCCCCTAAATTTGTTAATTTAACGAAACACCCCCCAAAAAAATTTAGAAATTGACAAAAACACCCCAACAACCCACATTTGCCAAATTCTGGCTACCACCACCAGAATCTGGTATAATGGTACACTACCATTGGATCTGGCTAATAGTACGCCAATCTAGCCTTTTCTGACCAGATCTACGGCTAATGATCTGGCCGTAGCCAGTCATTAACGACAGTCATATCTTTGGTCGTTATTAACGACCAAAATACGGTCAGATCTGGTCGATCTAGTCGTAGATCTAGCATTTTTCAACCAAATCCACTGTGGATCTGGCAAGAAAAGGTCATATCGGCGCACGACCGGCCAAATCCAGCCTATCATGCGCCGATACGGCGACTTCGGCCACGTTCTGGCAGTAGTGACCAGCTGTTGGTATTTAATGGGTGGGTGAGAGTGTTTTTGTTAATTTTTAATATTTTATTATAGGGGTGTTTAATAAACAAACAAACGTAGGGGAATATTTTTATTAATTTTTAAATCCTACATCGTAATACCCACCCAATTTTATCTTTTTCAAAATATTATTGTAAAAAGTATCAAAATAATAAACCAATGCACCCTCAATATCCCAAGTTCCTTGTTGTATTCCCGTGTGGCTAACCATCTCTAAATCGAGCTTGGCATAGTATTCTCGTTTATTTAATTCTATTGATTCATGATCTTATTAAATGTGATTGTAAATAATGAATCAATAATTACGTACAACTTTAGTCATACTTTTTTAATTAAGTAAATTTATAATATGAGTAATAATATTACTGCATGTTATCACAAAGCATAAAAATATACTTTGCTTTTGGAAATAGACAAATAGTAAATTAAAGTTTGCCACTTTATAGCTCCATTGGAGCAGCGAAAAGAGCACCTTTTCTGTTACATTCAAAGAAGATGATAAATTAATTAACGATATAAAGCATTAGAATGAACAAGACAAACGTTGTCGATCCATAATGCTGAATGATTTATAATTAATGTCATCATGTACATAACCTTATTACAGGGATATGTTCATTCTTGAACCTCACATTATAATATATACTTCCATTCCCATCAATCTTTCCCCTGATTTCCACCGATATTATAAATAATTATATATAATAATCACTATGTCAAGATTACGAAACACCACTGCAATTCTTTTTTGATATGATGTTACTTAGGTAAATAAAAGGTTGTAATTCAAATCAAGAACAGAAGAAAAATTAACAAAATGGGGCTCAAATCAAGGGAGAAATATATATATATATATATTTATATATAGAAAGCATTCATGCATACATGAACATGCACTAGAAGTTCATGTGATTATACATCGATATATATATGTACATGATTACACACATTCAAAATCCCTATCTGATCCATTGACAGCATGCTTTCCTTTTCGACTCACCAAAAGAAAGTCAAGATTGTAAAGCACCGGGACCATTGTTAAAGAACACAAGAAGACTAAGACTGGTCCAAAGATCCAAAGAAGAAGAGGTAATGCTGCATAGAAAAGTCTGTTTCCAACAGTGTTTAAAAGAAAACCTTTCTCTAGTAGTTCACTCACATACTCTGGAGTCACTATGCCCGATGGGTCTGGTGGAGTGTTAATGAGGATGTTCACTTGGTTTACAAACCTAATGGACAATGAGTGGCAAAAAAATGAGAATAGGAAGATTGTGAGAAGAGACACATATTTTAATGCCAGCATAAATTCTCCGTGACCCCCATAAACCGCATCATTTAGTGGCTTTTTCACAGAATATGTGCTACTTATAACTGCTGCAAGACCCGTGCAAAGGAGTATCGATGTTGTTGCCATTAGAGTTGATCCCATTATCATGTTTCTTATCGTTTGAACGGCCAAGATGTTTTTCTTGTCATTGTCCTGCACCCACAAATCAAATTCCAACTAAAGTTACCAATTATGTACATAATACAATTGAAATAGCAAATTTTTTTACTAACAGATTATATGTTGGAGGGCTGAGAATGAACAAATTGACATGCACTCTTGCCATTAATTGTGCAGCATTTGCACCTGTCTTTGTTATTATTTATAGAAAGGAAAAGCTGATTTTTTTCCATGGAATGTGATGGTAGTGCACATGGATGAGCAAGGCCACAACGTGATAACGAAGTTGAAAAAACTGGTAAAGATTATCATACACCTCAGAAAGCAAGATATAGTATATCAGGATTACTGATACCCAGCTTTCTATGAAAATGATTTTCATGTTTCCCATTTGTAACCTGCAATAATTGACACTAATGACACCATGACGTGTAACCTGCTATAATTCGGATATTCTTGCACCATTAATGACTGCATCCCCACTTATATATCTTGTAGATTTATCACTAATATTGCCTGCCTACTTTCGTTTTCTAGAAGACAAAGATCTCTTCAACTACATATGCAAAGGTATGGTCTCAGAGTTTTCTGCATATAATTTCATTAATAAAAACTGGAAAATGCATCTACTGAAAGTTCATGAACAAATTAATTATTGAAGTAATTGCCCCAGAAAAAGAGGAAAGAAGGGGTTTTAATCTCCTCTAGTTAAGCATTTACTTCGCATATATATAAAGATACATTATTCATAGTAAGATTTATATGTGAAGAAGATAAATAAAAAAGAGGTACCTTCATCATTGCAGCAACCCAGTAACTCCTGCCTCTAGAATTAGTACCAAGAGTGGTGGTGAGAGGTTGAGTTCGGACTTTATGCCATAACCAAACGTGATAAGCGATGGTTATTGAGAAGCCTAGTGGAACCAGTATGACATCCAAGTAGGACTTCCTCCATTCCATGATCGATGTCTTCTTCTTCTTCTTCTTCTTCTTCTCTCCTTTACTTGCTTCTAATTCGTTCCCTATAAAATTTCTTGTTATAATCAGCTCTATATATAAGCAATATTTGGAGTGAATGTAGACCTATTTGAATGCGGAATTCAATGAAAAAAAAAGCAACTTCCTCCCTTTATTACACTAACTTACAAATAATATGAATACGTGGGAATTGTGTCCCACTCCCCACTTGCTTTCCTTTTTATTTCTTCTTCGTTTTATTCTAATGAAACGTTTAACCTAATATAACTAATACCAGAGGAAGCACTGAATCAATGAGGAATTAAAAAATGTAAAGATATATATATATATATTTATATTCTATACAAATAATTATAAATAAGAAAAAAATAAAAATAAAAATATAAGTTTTACAAATAGTAATTCAGTACTTGGAATTGTTTAGATATAATGTTGGAGGTGGAAATAATGGGGTTTGGTGATAAGAAGATCAATACTAGAAGGTGATACTACTCAAGAAGTGAGAGTCTGACGAGGCCCAAATTAATAAAGAAATTATGATATAAAGCGACCGAAAACAAACTCAAAAGGCCACATCATTTATATGTCTTTCTCATTCTCATCACCATCACCAACACCAACAACCAACAACCAACACCAACACCAACACAATTCTCTTTGTAGATATATACAAATCATGGTGTTTGCACGCATTGAAATCCGGATTCAAAAGAAAGAATTAAAGAAGAGACGTTTCTAAGTCTATAACACTAACTTACGTACCTTAATTTCAATCCCTCTTTTGGCCAAGAATCCTCTTGTCATTATACTCAAAAAATTTCGAGCAAACTTGCAGGACGCCGGCAAAAAATGTTATTACTGTTATTATTGGATTGAAGTGTTGGGATAAACTCATTGTTTTGTGCACCAACCAACGAAGATATAAGACAACAACTCTTCTCTCATAATATTTTTTTAATTAGCCAACAGAATTCAATGGTGTTATACACGTGTACGAAGCCTTTTTTGTAAGTCAGTTATAGATGGTTTTACACTTATTCATATTAGGCAAGTGAATAATAATACACTATTAGGGTTTTCTTTTTCTTTTCTGGCATGGAAATGGCCAAGTGGATATTCTTATTTATCATATTGTTAACCTAATTTGTTCTTCATTAAAAAGTGGTTCAGGAATTTTCTATCTTTTGTAACCGTAAGAATCATTTAGATGGGAAGAATTAGCATATGGATATCAGCAGAATATAATATATTATATATAGGTTAACTTATTCTTCGATTTGGACAGTAAGAACCGTGGCGTTAATTCTCTAGTTTTCTTTTATTAATTTAATTTAGAGGAGCTGTACTGGAATAAACAAGATTAGGGTAAGAAAGTGGCGGGACAAATTAGAAGTGAACTGTGGGCGGCAGAAGAATAAAATGTGGGGGGAAAAAACATGTTGGAATCATATTCAATATCCACCCAATATTGAAGATCACACTACTTAATTACCAAACAAAGGAGCACACCTTCCTTAGTGAATTTATCCTCATTTAAACCCTACATATTAGTGGAAAAATCCCAACAACCATGGATTGTCTATTCACCTTTCTCCTGAACAAATGGATCGACTCAAACTTTCATGAATCTACCATCGAGAATCTCAATATTTGTCTCATAAATACAAAGCATGATAATGTACGAAGTGTAATTACATGATTTTTTGTTTGTCAAATTAACTCTTTATGTCATTTGTTTTTCAGCACTTTTTCTACTTTGTTTCTTTTGTAAAAGTAGTGATCGATTGAAGAGGAAAAAAAGAAGGTAAAGACAAATGAAAATTAATATATAAAGTAAGAAATTCATCATTTGATTTGATGTTGTTTATTGGTGGTCTAAATGGCAATAGTGACTTAATTAAATAAATTAATTAGTCAAAAAGGTGCTGCCTCCAGTATTATTTTTGTTGTTTTAAATTATGGTAAGCCATGCAAAGTATAGTATAGTTAATAGACTAATAGTTGTATATATGAATGCAAATAAATTAAAAAATAAAATAAAAAAAAGTTTGAAAGGTATGCAATCAACGAAACAATGATTAAGAATATGTTTAATATCTTAATTATTATGAAATTCATTTAACTACATAATTATACAGTTAATTTTTGGGTGAAAAGAGTCTATTTTGGCGGCCTCCAATTACTCCAGTGTCGCAGTTGACTCCGGCATAACCACACCAATTACTCCAGTGTCGCAGTTGACTCCGGCATAACCACTTCACTTCACTCTCCACCTTTTGTTCATGCAACCGACGGTCTTCCTCCCCGATTCTGACATATTATGACGTTGTTCGACGTCGATGACACCACCATAAGAATCGCCTTCATCTCCACATCAAAGGACTCGTCATCCTAAACTCTGATTGTCCACCAATCGTGTTCGCCACTACCAATATCTTCGCGCGACTGCCCATATCACAAGGGTGTTTTTTCTATATTTCAAACCTATAGGGATGTGTGTATAGTTTTGTAGGGGTGTTTTTGATGGATTTCAATCATATAGGGATTAATGGAATTTTATAGGGGTGTGTTTGCTGGATTTCAAACATGTAGGGACTAATAGAATTTTGTAGGCGTGTGTTTGCTAGATTTCAAATATACTGAAATTGCTAATGTCATCGGTCCGACCGGGCCCTTCACTGAATCAAGGTCTGGTCCAGTTTTCAGAACATTGATAATACACTATATACTGTTAAATACGAATGATGATCCCACTAACTTAATTAGTGATGTGAGACACAAAAATAATTAAGAAACACTAGACTATATAGTGAGCTTAAACCTAAATATAATAATACATTTAACATTGCTTAAACCCAAAAATAATATAATAATACAATTACAGATAACATATACATAGATTTTCCAACAAAGGAGATCATGTTATTAAATGAAATGAGGGGTTAATGGTTTGAAATCAAGGTCTGGTCCACTTCACTTCACACTTCACTCTCCACATTTGGTCATGCAACCGACGGTCTTCCTCCCTGATTCTGACATATTCTGACGTTGTTCGACCTTTGTAGGGGTGTTTTTGATGGATTTCAATCATGTAGGGATTAATGGAATTTTGTAGGGGTGTGTTTGCTGGATTTCAAACATGTAGGGACTAATGGAATTTTGTAGGGTTGTGTTTACTAGATTTCAAATATACTGGAATTGCTAACGTCATCAATCCGACCGGGCCGTTGACTGAATCAAGGTCTGATCCAGTTTTCAGAACATTGATAGTACACATATATATTGTTAAATAGGAATGGTGATCTCACTAACTTAATTAATGATGTGAGACACAAAAATAATTAGGAAACACTAGACTATACATTGAGCTTAAACCTAAATATAATAATACAATTAACAATTTAGGGGTGTTCAGTTCCGAGTACCCTGTATTTTTTGAAGGAACCGAAATCGGAACNCAGTTGACTCCGGCATAACCACTTCACTTCACTCTCCACCTTTTGTTCATGCAACCGACGGTCTTCCTCCCCGATTCTGACATATTATGACGTTGTTCGACGTCGATGACACCACCATAAGAATCGCCTTCATCTCCACATCAAAGGACTCGTCATCCTAAACTCTGATTGTCCACCAATCGTGTTCGCCACTACCAATATCTTCGCGCGACTGCCCATATCACAAGGGTGTTTTTTCTATATTTCAAACCTATAGGGATGTGTGTATAGTTTTGTAGGGGTGTTTTTGATGGATTTCAATCATATAGGGATTAATGGAATTTTATAGGGGTGTGTTTGCTGGATTTCAAACATGTAGGGACTAATAGAATTTTGTAGGCGTGTGTTTGCTAGATTTCAAATATACTGAAATTGCTAATGTCATCGGTCCGACCGGGCCCTTCACTGAATCAAGGTCTGGTCCAGTTTTCAGAACATTGATAATACACTATATACTGTTAAATACGAATGATGATCCCACTAACTTAATTAGTGATGTGAGACACAAAAATAATTAAGAAACACTAGACTATATAGTGAGCTTAAACCTAAATATAATAATACATTTAACATTGCTTAAACCCAAAAATAATATAATAATACAATTACAGATAACATATACATAGATTTTCCAACAAAGGAGATCATGTTATTAAATGAAATGAGGGGTTAATGGTTTGAAATCAAGGTCTGGTCCACTTCACTTCACACTTCACTCTCCACATTTTGCTCATGCAACCGACGGTCTTCCTCCCTGATTCTGACATATTCTGACGTTGTTCGACCTTTGTAGGGGTGTTTTTGATGGATTTCAATCATGTAGGGATTAATGGAATTTTGTAGGGGTGTGTTTGCTGGATTTCAAACATGTAGGGACTAATGGAATTTTGTAGGGTTGTGTTTACTAGATTTCAAATATACTGGAATTGCTAACGTCATCAATCCGACCGGGCCGTTGACTGAATCAAGGTCTGATCCAGTTTTCAGAACATTGATAGTACACATATATATTGTTAAATAGGAATGGTGATCTCACTAACTTAATTAATGATGTGAGACACAAAAATAATTAGGAAACACTAGACTATACATTGAGCTTAAACCTAAATATAATAATACAATTAACAATTTAGGGGTGTTCAGTTCCGAGTACCCTGTATTTTTTGAAGGAACCGAAATCGGAACCGACTGTTCCTTAAAATTTGGAACCAGAATCGGAACCGACGGTTCTGGTTCCTAGGTACCAAGAACCAGAACCTCTAACAACGGTTCCGGTTCCGGTTCTGGGTACCCTGTAAAATTCAAGGACCCCCCAAAAGTTTTTAAAATGGTAAAAAAACTCTAAAAAACTTACAAATACCCCCCCACTTCGCACTTGTTAACAAAAATAAAATTTAAAATTACAATCTCCATTACTTTGTAAAGGTAGATTCTCAACAGTCAAACCAACTTACTTTAAATGTTATGATATATAACTATAAATGTATTCACATTATTTTTTCTATAAAAGTCTTTATTAACCCCCCCAATATATAATAATATTAGTCTCGGTTCCTGGTTTCTGGTTCTGGTTATGATTCCTAACTATAGGAACCGGAACCGGAACCGTACAGTAACAGTTTTAAAAATTTGAAACCGAAACCTATCCGTTGACGATCAGTTCTGGGTAAGAACCGGAATCAAATCTCTGGTATCTGTCAATTCTGATTCTATCAGGTTCTTTTGAACACCCCCAATTAACATGTCTTAAACCCAAAAATAATATAATAATACAAATACAGATAACATATACATAGATTTTCCAACAAAGGAGATCATGTTATTAAATGAAATGAGGGGTTAATGGTTAATGAGGTGGTGCAGGAAGGCAAGCATGCTTTGGCTGCAAGTGGTGGCCAGCAGATCAGCAGAGTTATGAGTTTATTGGTTTATGTGATGTGGTCCACATATGACCATCTTGCCTCTAGTGACTAGTGCTTAATCACCTAACCTAACCTAACATAAACAAAGTCAATAATATTCATTATTATGGCTACTTCAGTTTAATTTTGGCATGGAAATTGAACCATATACTATATACTCTACCCATTTTCTCATGTATAAAATATTACTCGACCATTAAGTTTTAGTGCTCTAAATATATTCTTACCCATTATCAAATATTATTTCTCTTATCCAGATTTGACATTCACTCAGAACATCACTTGGACATATCCCATTTACAGAACCTTATTATAGGATTACTATGATAAGCAGACATGAGTTGACTTTTAGCCTTCTTCTAACATGAGATGATAGATGAGGTGTTTGGATGAGTTTATGCAAATTAGTTTATAAGTAATTGTTAGAAGATGATATATGAGGTGTTTGTCTGAGTT